ACAATATAATCCAAATAATGAAAGAATATATACAAACTAAAAAGGATAAAAATGTCATCCAAAATAAATTTAAAAAACCATGGTTCTACCGATACTGTTACAAGATGAAAAACACGAAACAAGATTCTCTACAAAAATTTCGTAAAAATTCAAATAACTTAAACTTTCAAAACTATATAAAGATCAAACGCACGTATAATAATCTGATCAAAGCAAGAAAGAAAAATTATCTCTCAAATTTGGAAACAACACTTATAAAGAACTGCAATGATAGCAAAACTTTTTGGTCATTAATACATAAATTCCGATTTAAAATGGACCACAAAGACAAGAACACTCGTATAATTGAATTCGAAACATGGAAAAACTTCTATCACCGTTTTCCTACCATCCAAGATATCTTCAATACCTTTCAGCAATCCGAATAATGAATATCTCGAAACAAATTTACAATTAACGAACTTGATGAAATAATTAAAAAACCCGCAATAACACAACTCCAGGAAATGATCTCATACCAACAAAATTTTTGAAAGCACTACCAAATCAGACAAGAGAAAAATTACTAAAACTCTTCAACACTATGTACGAAACAACTAACTACCCAGAATCTTGGAACTCGATAATTTTAACCATGATATACAAAAAAGGTGATAAAGCTTTACCAAATAATTATAGACCAATAGCCCTACTACAAACTCTAAGAAAATGTTTCACTGCACTATTAGCCAACAAATTTCAATACTGGATTAAAATTATGGAATTAGAAGCGAATTTCCAATACGCATTTCTCAAAAACAAAGGAACGGAATCGGCAATCTTTTTATTATCATCAATAATCCAATTACATCTGACCAGAAAGCATAGAAAAGTATTTGTAGCATTTATAGACATCCAAAAAGCATTCGACTCTGTTTACGTTCCATTACTAGTGTATAATTTAACAAAAAAGGAGCAAGTAATCAATTTACAACAGCTATAGCTAAACTGTTTACAACCTATAATGTAAAAATTAAACAAGGACAAACTATCTTACCATCAATTAAATTATCACGAGGAATTCTCCAAGGCGACCCTCTTTCTCCATACCTATTTAATTTTTATTTACATGAAATAGACCAAATATTTCAAAACAGTTCAGATGGTATAGAAATCGACGACAAGATCTTTCACTACGTATTATTTGCTGATGACTTAGCCATGTTTGCTCCGACTAAGAGCTCCTTGCAAAGAAAAGTTAATATTGTAAATTCTTACCTTAAATCTCTCTTCTTAACAATCAATAACCTTAAAACCAAAATTATCATCTTTCACAATAACAGCAATATCTCAAAAAAGGAAACAACAATCTATCTTGACAATTATCCACTGCAAATAGTAAATGAAATAATATATCTAGGAGTAGACTAAACAAACATTTATTTCAAATAAAGTAACAAACATAAGAAAAAGTTATCAAGTATTCAATAAATGTTCGAATTGAGCACCACTAGCCTCCATACAATAATACAAATTTTGCTCAAATTGCTTCGATTGAAATCACACGTTTAAAGCTCACATCAACTATCTAAACAATAAAATAAAAATAGCCATAGACAATCTACTATATTTATGTTCAAATTTAAAAACCACTAAATTATCACTTCATATGAAGTTATATAATTCAGTCATTAATCCAATAATTTACTATGCATCACCAATATGGGGCCTTGATTATCTTTATAGAGACTTACCATATCTACTTCCTTCGGCACCTTTTTCACCTGGAAAGATCAGTCCCAGGTTACGCTATCCGAAACGAAACCAGCCGTATATGCTCATACTTCTTATCTTTAAAACGTATTATAAAATTTTATTATCGCCTAAAATTCAAAAGCGACAACAACATATCATTTCTTCATCAAAAGCTAATTAATTATAATAAAAAATCAAAGGCTCCTCATCTCTGGCAAACCAAATTGAACAGAATACTAAATTCCTTCGGAGTATCTGAATTATTATTCAATGACAATATCCTCGATTGGAAGTACGGATACACTATGCTAATGGAAGCAGCAATATCCCAATCTATAAACTCCGACCAAATCAGTCTGAACCGAAGCTCTTATCATCCTTGGTACTTGGAAATACTAAACATACCTTCTGTACAACCATATACAGGTGACCCAACGAAAACGAAACGGCGGAGTTATCGTGTTCGTCCAAGCAAATCGCTCGGACAGGTCGATTTTAATCTCAAGGGGGACATTTTCTGCAATGAAGTTTTTGCGATTCTGAATACAACAGACAACAAAAAATTTTAAAAACTCATTCATTTTTTTATTAACTAAACAAACATTTATTTCAAATAAAGTAACAAACATAAGAAAAAGTTATCAAGTATTCAATAAATGTTCGAATTGAGCACCACTAGCCTCCATACAATAATACAAATTTTGCTCAAAACGGTTTCTTACACTTCGGAAAGTTTCGGGTGTTATTTTAGAACACTCGTCTACAATTCTTTGTCGTAATTCTTCAAGAGATCCTGGTTCGGTTGCATAGATCTTACTTTTTAAATGTCCCCAAAGAAAAAAATCAAGAGGACTAAGATCTGGGGATCTAGCCGGCCATTCTAAAGGACCTCTACGTCCGATCCAATGCCCAGGAAAAACCGTGTTCAAAAACTCTGTAACTGGTCTTGCATAATGCGGGGGGGCTCCATCTTGTTGGAAAGTAAGGCGGTCTTCTAAGTATCGGTCGTCATGTTCGACGATATCAACAAGTAATGGATGTACAACATTTTCAAGTAAATCTAAATAACTTTCTCCCGTTAGATTACCATCTAGGAAAATGGGGCCAAGTACTCGATCTCCAAAGATTCCGGCCCACACATTTAGTTTTTGTGGAGTTTGGCTATGAACTTCACGAAATATGCTTGGGTTATTATCTGACCAATATCGACAATTGTGACGATTAACCGTTGAGTTTAAAAAAAACGTGCACTCGTCGGAAAAACAAATGTTAAAAAGATAATCCACGTCAACTCTTAATCTTTCTGTCATAATTTCACAAAACCGTTGTCGCCGATCAAAATCATCTTTATTTAATTGGTGAACTAAATTAATTTTGTACGGATGAAACTTGTGAGTTTTGAGGATCCGGCAAATAGATGTTCTGCTTATGCTAGTCACAGCCTCCAGCTTCCTTATACTTAAAGTTGGGTCTGCAGCAACTTGCCCCAAAATCTCAATCTCTGTCGCTTCGTTTCTTACTGGAAGTTCACGTCCGGAAGTGCGTTTTTTGTTAGCCACAGAACCCGTTAACTTAAACTTTTGAACCAACTCTAGAATGTATTTTGCATTACAATGTTTGTTTGGATAACGTTGATTAAATAAATTTGCAGTAAGATGAGCATTCTCGCCATTTCTGAAATGAAGAGTTACTATTTCTACCCTTTCAGCAATTGTGTAAACCATAACGATTATGTGTACAAAAATTCACAATAAACAAATAATAATCTTAAATTCGAATTGAATCACTACGTAGTCAAGCTTAATGTGAACACTACAAAATACAGGTATAACATTTGGAAACAGATAACACATTATCAACCTTAATTTTATGATCAACTTATTTTTCCTTGCATGTGCGGTCTAGCTTAAAAGGTTTTTTTTATGTTTTTTAATAGTTTGTGTTACTTTTTGCCGAAATAAATGTTTGTTTAGTTAATAAAAACTGAATAAGTTTTTAAAAATTTTGTTGTCTGTTGTATTCAGAATCGCAAAAACTTCATTGCAGAAAATGTCCCCCTTGAGATTAAAATCGACCTGTCCGAGCGATTTGCTTGGACGAACACGATAACTCCGCCGTTTCGTTTTCGTTGGGTCACCCTGTATAACGAAACCGATCAACTTTAATGTTAAAAGACTGATTACACAGTTACGGCTAAATAAATATTCTATACTAGCTGCAAGGACCCGCTTCGCTGGGCAAAAAGTAACGATAGTGAAGATTAAGATACAGTAATTACATTATAGCTAATCTTACCCGTTTTCACAGAATGCAAGAATTAGGTCCCCCGTTTCCAGACTAATTAGAGAATTTTTACGCTTAGTCAAACGAACTATTTTCAACGTTTCTGGAACGTTTACAATTGTTCTATAATCGAACCAATATTCGAATTTTATGTTTGAATTTAATTCGAACAAATTCGAACAAAACATTCGAAATAGAAAGCCACTTTCAGTCTCATATCTCCCGCACCCTTATAGCTATCGAGACGCAACCACCCCAATGCACGAATGGAGACTTGGGGCTACCACCACATACACTCTATAGACACTCTATATGACAGGGGATGAAAACCAGGACGACTCAGTGGTATTGCCCGGGGTGAAAGAGAGGAGATAGGAAAGTATGTAGAGAAGAGGTGAAGGGGAAAAGTGAAAGAGGAAAGGAAAGGGGATGAGATGGGAGTCTCATGAGCTCCTGCACCGGGTATTACCACCACATACAAACACCATTCACGTGCGATGTGTAGTTTTGGCGAAAAAGTGAAATATAGGGACATACATGTCCATTTATATATATATATATAGATATAGATTGTACTGCTATGAACTTTCAATAAGTAGTATTGTACTAATTTAAAATGTACAGTACTTACCCCAGCAACAGGAAAATTTCCTACTGCTAAATAAAGTTTGAGTTGAGTCGAAAAAAAAAAAAAATTAATTCCACAATATTATCGGAATTTATATTTTTGATCCCTTTCAATATTTTTATAATTGAATAACATATTAATAATATATTGCAACATAAGCCGCTTCCATTAATTCTAATTTCTGAATTTATGTTAGGCTTAGTAATTTGTTTCCGTAATTCGAACAAAAGATCCAATTAAACATTAATATTACCATTATTTTAACAATCTTATATATTAAATATGTTTAAACCAGATAAATATTATATATATTCTTTTATAATTAAAATTAATTTAAATTTTAATTGCCACTTACATTAATTAAAACGATTCGGCTATGGAACCTTCTAGAACAAATTAGAAAATTAATAGCCGTTAACGCAGTAGTTCTCGTTTGAAAATATATCTGTAAAAATTAATGAATTACAATCCCTTGTATATATTAATTCTAAACATTTATAAATTGAAAATATTTAATTTATACTAGCACGATTTTTTATGTTTAAAATATATCAAGGTCTATAAACGCAGATCAGAACACGATCCCGTGACCCTTTGCGGCAGCGGCCATTATGGGTCTTATATCTTTCACGAGGTTCCAGTGTGAGTCGGCTTTAAAAAAAAAAAAAAATTGTTTAATGTTTGAATTTTGAAAGAAATTAGAAAACAGTTCAGAAAATCGTTAATAAATCAAACGTCATTAATAATAATTAAAATTTATTTAGAAAAATTATGATGTATTATTTTAAAACAAGAAAATAACTTGAATTTATTAGCATTTAATGTAGTCTGTAAAAAAGTGAAAACTTTGAATAAGAATTTAAATATAATTTTTATAGTTTATAGGAATTGTTTAATAATAATAATAATAATGCTTACCTTCTAAAATATGAAAATATTTAATGATATTTTTATTAAAATTTACTAAAATTAAAATATATAATTTTTGTAATTCATATTAAAATATTATATTATGGATACATAACCAAATAATCGCCTTGTACATTTAAAGCCCGATTATTTAAGACGATCGGGTTTGGGAATGTTTGATATTATTATATTATGTTTGATAAATTCTCACCGTCCAAAATATGCAACTATTCAAATTCTAAGCGTATCGTGACATTTAATATATTTTATTTTTTAACTTATGATGAAAAAAGTGACTTGCGACAAAATAAAATATTTAATAACATATTTACATACAACATTCGATTTATACTTACTTATTTGAATAATTTTAAATAATAATTAAAAATGTTTATATATTTTCATCTCTATAGATACTTTAGATTCTTAAATTTATGAATTATTAATTGTTTTTCTATTATTATTTATTAAACTCATTAAAGTTTGATTGAAAAATTAACATTTTTTGGTGATAAGATTTATGAAAAAATGATATGAAACTTTAAATATCAAGCTGTTATCTTTCATATCTAAATAATATACACAGATAATATGTGAGAGTTAAACGAAGAAAAAACTTGGGAAAGTCGACATCTGCAAATATAATCTATTTATAAGAAAAATCTCTAAAAAGTGTACATGAAAGTCACTTTCCTTAAACCATTGTATTGCTGATGGCGACTATTAAAATACTCCGATTGCTTCTATTCTTCTGTAATATTGTGATTATAGTAACTTCGACTAATTGGTATTATAAAGCAAAAGGTGATAAGAAATTTGTAGAACATATCGAATTTACATCTTATGTTATGCAATCAACAGTGCAATGTGCCGCAAAGTGTAACGATTGGGAACCTTGTCGAGAATTTGGAGTCAGTCCTCTAATAGAGAATACTACTGATACTGATTATAACTGTATGTTGTCTTCCGGTAATGCTGGATGTAGAGGAAATGAATCGAATTGGCAAAGTTTTAGAAAATATTTTACTGGAGTGGAGAAGTCAGTAAGTACGGTTGTATTCTTTTCTCAAATTATAGATGCTGAAAGGAAACTATTTAATTTCTATAATTAAATATATTGATATATAAACTTTTATTTATTTATTTATAAGTTATAAAAATCAAGTAAAAATAAAATTTTTATAAAATATGATATACTGTATAAATTAATGTTAATCTGTAAAATATGCTCAAAATATCAACGTTTAGCTTCAATAATATATTGATAACTATAAATTGGAAATTTATAACTATCAACATCAAATGAAAATTTGATCAATATATAGGAATTTGATATTTAAATATAACTACTGTATTTAATTTTATAGATTGTAGAAGATACTTGTAAATTCATTCTAAAGGAACAAGTAGCAAAGAATGCAGCATCCAAAGGAAAATATGCAATATTTTGTGATGGGTATAACAAGGTACCAAAAACTAAAACATTCTTCTTTGAAATCAGGTGATTTTTTAAATTTAAATATTTAAAACCTAATTAAAATATATAAAACCTTATTAACCTTATTAATAAAACCTTATTTTTGGGGTTATCGTATTTTTTACTGTTTTACAACATTTATTTTATTCATACACTTCACAACGTAATGTTTACTTACTTATTGAAAATAATATTTTAATGTAAAAATATTTTTGAAAAATTATATAAAATATTAAAAAAAGTTTATAATATAATGTATATATATAACCTGTATTATTTTATTGATACGTTATATTTAGTTTAAAAAGATGTAATGTAAAACGTAGAATATATTTTACACTTTGTCTTTTCATGATATAATATATCCATGTACTGTACAATGTGCCCAGTACCGGATTTATATAGACTATAAGCTACAGCTTAGGACCTTGCAACCTATTAAATTTATTACAACTTGATGGAGGACGAAAGACACATTTATAGTGTAGGGACATTACAAATGCTAATTCGGCCGACTTTTACGTCTAGACCAGTGTTTCTCAACCTCTAACGAATCGTCGCCCCCTTCAACGTAGTATCGCCCCTTCAATAAAACCGTTACGTAGTATCACCCCCCTTCAACGTAGTATCGCCCCTTCAATAAAACCGTTGTGTAGTATCACCCCCTTTACTTCAAAATTCCGATGCCGAGGGCCAAGGCTAACGCCAAATTCGTACTGCATCGAATAGACTAGAGACTAGTATAATGTTATTTATTTAATTATTGTACGATATAAGGAATAAAATATCTAATTATTCTTACTATAATGTTTTACTATATCGCCCAGAAAATTATTATTTGCCCCCACAAAATATAAATTGTTACTAATCGCCCCCTGAACATGGAAAAACGCCCACATAGGTGCGATATCGCCCCTGTTGAGAAACACTGGTCTAGACAAACGAAAGTCTATAGTTTTAGAAAGGCTTGAAATCATCTAAATAATTAATTTTTATTACTACAGTATTAAAACTTTTCAAAGAAATGCTCGAGATCATCGGTTTGCTGAGGTTCATCAATGTGTAAAATTGACACTTGTTTTTTAATCAACTTAATTATTTTAATCATTTTATTTAGACAGCCCATGGTTTACATTATTTTGTTGAAATCAGCTTAACCTAACTTAACCAGATTGTTTTTCGATAAAATATAAGATTATCATTGTAGAGATCAAAGCTCAATTTTATTCCATAATACAAAATGTATCATAGGTAGTACGATTCGAAAGTTGTTCTCTATCTCAATTAACTCAATTATTGATCAGGTACTCTTAGATGAATGAAATTGTAACTGGTCGTGTAACTTTAATGTATTGATCCTCTTGTTAGTACAGTAAAATCTCGATTTAACTGGCAAAATTTCCATCTGTTCATTATCAGAAGAGTGAATATGGAGAGTACATAAGCAACAATACATATAGAAAATTTCTCTTACATGTTTAACTTTAATTTTAACTTTAAAGTAAAACCAGATAAACTTGCAATCTTTGGCAATTTTTTGACATACGCATTCGGAAAACCTAATTTATTGTATAACGAATATTTTAATTATAAATTTGTGTTTTTTAAAATTCATTTCTTTTTTTTACACTTAATTTTGCTTTATTTCAGGTTTCTAAATTCTGCTTCTCGAAAGGTTGATGCGTATAATTTTGTCACCGTTGGCAATCATAAAATATATAATATAAGTGCATCTAGGGATAATTTCAATTTTGAAAAATCTGACGGAACAAGTAAACTAGTGTGTCCAGAACAAGCTGCCGTCGTGGGTATGTTTTATATTCTTTATTAAACTTCTGTGTTAAATATGTGTACAATATATAAAGAAAATTATAAATTTAAGCACACGTATTAGTTAATCCCATTATGTGTCATGTCCGCTCGTAATGATCGAAATTATACACATAATTATAAGAATAAAATACTGTAGTAATATTATTGATTACAATTGAAAACAATTGACTCAGTTTTATTTAAATCCATTTCTCGCATTCTTAATTATGAACTAAAATTTTCAGTAATATGTACAGTATTTCATTTTATAGATAAAACGAACAGAAAGTTATATGAAAATATAATAAATTATTACTTTTTATAGGAATATTTTTTATTTATTAAAGGTTAATATACTGAAAGATATTGGAGTATTTTCGATTAATTTTGAACGCGGGCAATTCCATTAAATTAAAGTTAGCAACACTGAAGAGAAAATAATACAGTAATATATTTTCCAACGACATATAAGTACTAGACCCCGAATCCTGTCATGGCGGTCTAAACAGTGCATATACTGTGGACAGATTGTTGTGTGCTGACTTATGGTAACTATTTCTGGCATAATTGCTATTTATTTAGTCTCGAGTGTGCGGGAATTGTCACACGAGCATAACAGGAATGCAACCGAGTTGCCGTACAGTTAATTGCAAGTATTAAAAAAGGATCCGGTATTACGTTTCATCGGTAATTTAGATATAGACCTATTGCTCTGATACCATATCGTTGGTTTACCATCAAAATCTTCTAAAGAAATATTTCTGGGAAAACATTAAACTTTCTTCAGAAGTTCATTATTACTCTATATTAATTATTTTTATTTATTTATGTATTGAAGTAGGTTTGACTTGTAACCTACGAGAGTTTTATAGATTATGGAAAACGTGTTTCGTTATATACTAATTCTGTAATTCAAATATGAGCAAATATGAGTTACGAGAGTTCGATCGCTGACCGATGATATAGAATTCTTTTTTGAACGTAAAATAATCACACGACTAATATTTTGTTGACAGTGTTTCTTATAAGCAAGCAGTAGTTCAGTCGGTAGATTTACCCACCATATCTGATAATCAGGCTCATTGTGAAGTTTCTGTAAGAGAAATGTACACCAAACCTGTTCATTTCAAAGATCAATAAATTACGTTTATTGATGGATTTACAGCAGACGTCATTTGTAGACAGCCGATATGAATAATAATTTAACTACTGCTATTTTGTATTAAATATTAGTTTAATATTTATTAGAGCATTTCGATTATTTCATTTATTATTTATCAGTTCTGCAAATTACAGTCATGAAAATTGTGTATTTATATTATGAACAATCGTATCTGTATTGGGTATATCCTGCAGATGCACAGCTTTGTGCCTTAAAGTGCGCCTACATCATTTACATAGTCTCGTTAATCTACAATTTCCAATTTCCCTATTGGCAGTGACTATAGTTATAATAAATCGTTTAAGGTTTCTTTATTGATCAATAAATCGGTTTGCAGCAATTTCGGTTCTTCGATGTTATTTCACTAAAATCGCTGCAAACCGATTTTTCAGAAGTCGCTTGATAAATGGCTTATCGCTCTCTATCTCTATCGGAAGAATACTGCGAACTATAATCTGCGTTTTGAATATTTTACCAGTCGGGAGTGTGAAGTAGTTTCTATAAACGAAACAAAATCCCCAAAATAAACGTAATCAAAGTCATGTTCCCCTCTCAAAATTTATGCAATTATTTATAAAAACTACCCAGTGAGTACTGATAATGGCATTATTCCAAAAGTTCACTACAATTTTCTTGTTTTTTTTCCGCCGTTAACACTAAGAGGGGAACAAGTCCATTATGGGTTCGGCCAGGCTCACAATGGGGTGGTAGGGTGGCGAGGGACCGAACCCAACATATTAGGGACAGATCATACTACGAAGAATCCCGGGTACTCTCAGAGCGGTAGCCTGGACTCCTCAACTGTTTCGACTATTTGCAATTAGAACTAATTATAAATATTGTACGGAAGAATCTGTCATTTCCATGAACAATAAGAACACAAAAAATCAAGTTTCTTCTGAAGAAATATAAAAAAAATTTCAAAACTTCTATGTCATTAGTTTATTTAACCAAATCTATCCACCTAAAAAAGGTTTTTTGAAGTAATAAACAAATTTGTTATGTCCTTATCCGACTGTCTACTGAAGTTTAAGAATTACTCAGAAGCAATTTTAATGTTTTATTTATATGCATTTCGGATCAGTCTACACAGGATAAAATTGTTTTGTAAATTTATAGTTAAAACATTTTTAAAACAAATATAAACAAATAAATAACTTACAATATTTATGCAAATAAATATTACTAAATACAGTCGACCCCCCTATAAGATATAGATACGTTCCAATTTATTAGGAATCCGATTTCTTACAAGTCGTTCCAATCACAGCCCGACACGTGTCAAGTTTACGGACTACGGCTGATTGAAAGGTTTTCTTCCATAAAATTAATCGATTCTACACTAATCCGACTCAACATTTCCAAAATACGTATATTTTTTCGTAGTTTTATAGGAATCGTAATTATAGGG